ATCATATATATATTGATGTTTCGTAGCTTCTCACACTTTTCATTACCTTATTATACATTAATTAAAGTATATGTATCACAATGCTTTTGTTGAGATTAGTAATCCTAATTCTCTAATTGTGTCTTAGTTTACAATTTTAGATAGGATGGCAAAGCAATCATTTTAAGTATTATGTTATTGGGTTGGGCTTAGAGCTTTTGTGTTCTCCTTCCTTTCTTTGTCCGGGTTGCTTCCGGACTGGGCCTTATGTATTTAGTATCCCGATACGCTTAATACTTGGGAGATCCTAAGTATATAAGCGACTTCTATCTCTTGAGCCTTCAAGTTTTGAGCTGATAATCACAACCCTAGACAGAGAAAGAGAGGCTGAGAACCTTGAGTTCTAGAGTGAGAAAGCATTGTTCCGGTGCCGGCGCGAGAGCCTGATCTTAACGAGAACGGTGAGAGAAAGAGGAGGATTCCTAGAAATCGGAGGAAACAGAGGAGAGCTTGATACGAGGTCCTGAACTAGAGCCTGACAGTTATCTTCTGAAGCCTTAGGGTTTCATTCGGTTAACTCTGAACTCTTTCTTTTATTTGTTTCGTGAGTGATATCTCTGACCGATTGCATGTACTGAATCTTGATTGCTTTGCAACCATCTTGATTGTGAACTGTTGTATATCTGAGCTAGTGAAATTTGGGACCGGGTTTCCCCTGTTGAAACCCCGCAGATTAGGAAGGTTTTCTTCCAAACTGCGTCAACATATCGTGTTTCTTTTTACTTTTCTTATTGCTTTGATTGCAAGTGTTAAGTTTGAGATCTGATCTGTTTGACTGTGACTTCGTGTAGTCTGCGAACAAATTGGTATCAGAGCTTGGTGTGTTCTCAAAACCCTAATTGCAATCTTTGATTAAATCTTGGATTTCTTGAAACCCTAGTTCTTGGTCTGTCTTAAATCTGAACCATTATACTCTGGCTTGGTATTGATTACAGTACATGTGTTTGTTGTCAGTGCCTTTCGTCTTTGTCGGTTTGAATTGTCTGTTCTTGATAATCTGTTTATTCTTGAGTAACACATTGGGACAATGTCTGAGTCTGGTGTCAAAGTCCGAATGTTTGATGGCACCAGTGATTTCCCAATGTGGCAACTTAAGATGAAAGCTCTGTTGATGAAGCAGAAATGCTTCACTGCTCTTACGCATAACCCTATACCTAGTTTATTTGCGCCTGATCAACTTGAATTAAAAGATGTTGCTTATTCTGAGTTGATTATACATTTGTCTGACAATGTGGCTAGAAAGTTTGCTAGTATAACTGAGCCTAAGATTCTGTGGGAAACTCTTGAATCAACCTACATGAAGAAAACCATGTTTAGGAAGATATCCTTAATATATAGGTTGTTCAATTTCAAAATGAATGTGTATGTTTCTTTGCAAGAGAATTTAGACAATTTTCTTAAGATGACACAAGAAATTGAGAAAGTAGATGAAAAGATTAAGAACACCCATCAAGCTGTGATTCTCTTAAACTCACTACCCTCCCAATTTGACAACTTTAAGGTTGTAATTCAATATTCCAATGAAGAATTAACACCAAGCAAGATAATAGATTCCATTATGGAAAAGAATGAGAGCCTTAAGGTGTTTAAGTCCAAGTCTGACTCAACCTTTAGTGAAAGAAATGAGACTAAGACTGAGGCTTTAGTGGTGAAGGGTAAACCTAAGAATAAGAAGAAGGGTTCTAAGAAGAAGAAACAAACTGAGAAAGATAATTTTGATAAGAAGGGCTTTAAATGTCATTACTGTGGTATAGAGGGACATTTTGCTAGGGATTGTAGGAAGAAAAAGAGGGATAGACAAGGTGATAACCCCAATCCTAATCCTACCTCTAACACAGAATCTGTTAATGTCTTTCAACATGAGTTACTTGTTTGTTCTGATTCTTCTCTTAAATCTGAATGGATTCTTGATTCTGGTTGTACTTTGCATGCCACTCCTAACAAGGACTGTTTTTCTTCATTGACTTTGTTTGATGGGGGAAAGGTCATGTTAGGAGATAATACTGCTTTAGATATTAAAGGCATTGGTAATGTTCCATTGAGAATGTTTGATGGTGTTGTTAGAGTTGTGTAGAATGTTAGGTGGGTTCCATATCTGCCACTTGGAAAAGAATTTGTGCTATCAACAATGAAGCTCTCTCTGCCTGCTCAGTTAGTTCATCAAGAGAGATATGTTGGAACTTGAAGAAATCTGGGTGTTTCAGTCTGCAATCTGCATACAATTTCATTAGAGAAGAAAGTATTAGCTCCTTTATAGATAAACATATCTGGCATCCAAGACAACACTTAAAGATTAAGCTCTTTCAGTGGAAACTCATACATAATTGAAATATAGTGCACATTATATGTGCGCAGAATGCGCCATATATTTCAAGAATTTATTTGACTGCCTTCCCGATCGAATTTTGAGCTGAAATTTGGTATGGATAAACTAGACTTGATGAAGAACATGCTCAAAATATTCCATCAAAAAATTCCACCCGGAAGGGCCTCTAATGGCTTTGTCCGTGCGGAGCCCCCCGTACATCCATATGTACATGATCATTCCTCATTATATATATACACACATATATACATACGTGCTTTGTGACTTGAACTTCAGAATGCCTCATCACATTAAAAAACGTGTTTAGATTGTCTTCAATCTTGCTATTGTTTATAGCTAAGTGTCAATTTGAGAATCTGATTTCACGTTTGCTTTAGGAACCACGGACCACCATGGAAGTTTTCCTTGGATATGCATACAGGTTTACATGGCAATTCTCCAAACCCTTTTGTAATTTTCTCTTTTGAAGGAATTGATCAGGAGTCTTCTTCAATTAATAACCCCTTAATGAAACTGGATTGCCGGATATTTGAAGAAAAATAACCCCTTGATGAAACTGGGAGCACGATGGCGGTCTTGGGGCTTTTGTTAAGATGATGGAGGGGTATTTAGATATTGGAATTATTCTTATTTATTAAAATTAAAATTAGTGGCTGTGAATAGTAATTTAGAGGCTGTGAATAGAATTACCCTAAAACTTATGTTATGTTTTCTAGTTTGAGCCTATTATTTGTAGAGTGTTTTGTAGAGATAGTATGGGCTTAATTAGGATTTAATTAATTTGGGCTCAATTGGGGTTTCTCTTAGAAAGCTATTTATACTCTTGCCAAGGTTCATTCTTGCTTATCTTGGAATCGGTGTCCGGATTTCAACCTTGAGGACACGGTTGTTTTGAAGAAAGATGGATTGATAGAGAAAAGAGAGATCAAGCAATCAAGGGGCGAGAACGGGCTTGGGCCCACCTCCATGGGCTAGTTGTGAGCTAGGGTCATAGTTTTATTTATTATTATAAAGTTTATTTCGTGTTTTCTAGTTTGGGCCTATTATTAGTAGAGTATTTAGTAGAGTTAGCATGAGCTTAATTAATTTGGGCTAGATTAGAGTTTCTCTTAGAAGACTATTTATACCCTTGTCAGGGTTCAATCTTGTTTATTTATCTTAGAATAAAATTGAATTTCAGTCTCTTGGCTCTGGGCAACGATTAATATCGTTGATTATCTGGGCAATAGGTTTACCCCGATTATTATTTTTCTATTCTCAACAAAATAACTCGGACATATTTTGATCATCTTCTGTATCTATCTCCACCACGCTCCAATCCATATCCCACAAGTATTTCCCCATCGCTGCCGCACGCGAACCAAATTGGAGTATAATAGGTAGGATCAAGCCTTTTCTTCTGCATTTTTTTTTGTTTCTTTGTATTTGCAGCTCTAAAAAATAGTGGTCTAGGATATCGGATTTGAATGTGTAAAAAATAGCTTTAAAGGAAAAGAGTAAGGAACCAACTCAAGCTTCTCTCTCAGTTAGTACCAAGTCTCTGATTTTGTCATTTATTCTGGTCTGGTAATCACCCCATTAGCAATCATTCCACCTGTAGCAAAACAGTACACAAATATGATAGAAAATTCAAATGAAGTGAAGAAAAACAGTATGATTATGGGTACAAGTGTACAGAAGTTAGTAAACAAGAAGTTAGGGTCCTTGGATTCAGGTATCTTTAGATTTAGTATGCCTCCTATTCTCCATACAATTTATGCAAGCAATCTTTGAAAGAACGCCTCTTTTTAGTGAACAATTAGTTAAGGTCATTTAGTTCCAGTATCATTTGTTTGTTCAGATCTGGTATCTGCAGTCTTCAATTGTGTGGAGTTATTTGAATTTTTTTGATGAGTTCAACCTACTTTTTTTAGAAACACATAACACGCCCCATGGGCTGAAACTGGTGTTCACTACGTTGTGGAGTACTGGAGTCAATGGCAGTCATCACCGACAAGGACAAGGGTGTTGCACACTTGAACATCAGTACTAATCTCTTTTACTGGAGTATCTAAGAACTTAGCAGAATAGCACATGCAAGGCTTATAACTAAGAATCCTGTTCTGTCGAGAGAAGTCATTGACCAACCAATATTTAGCGGCATCATATCTGACTGAGAGAAAAGCAATTGACGTGAACACAATAATGGAGTAACATTTGCTAAACATTTCAAAGATAAATGAGTATAAACACGAAGTAACAGAAGAATCATACGGAGTACTAAACTAGCAAATATTGTTGTCGCAAATCAAGGCCGTCAAAGCAACAGTCTATCTTCATTTTATGCCACCAAAGTGTGACATGTTACATAAAAAATGAGCATGCAAACAAAGAGCTATTGGAATTTTTTATTGCACATACAAGGTGATCCAAACTTATGTCAACTACTGCATATGGTTCGTAGGTGTATCCCAAAGCTGTATCACTTTGCACTCATTCCATATATATATGAGTATATTTTATCTTGGAAAAAAATATTAAGAATCTAATGCTAGGATATATCAAAGTCCTGATCATTACTTCACAAGAACTTACCAACATAATTTCTAGGAAGATTACGAAAAATGCGGCCAGGCAAGACTAGCTTATATATGTGGGAAGAAGTTAGAGTAAACAATTTGTAGCAACTATGTCTATAAAGTGACTTGGTGTAGAAATTAAGACTGGGCAAAAACATTCTTTGTAATCCAATTTCACAACAAAAATTGGATATACTATGCTCACAACACCATATATATGTTGGTTCCCTTAATTAATATTGTTGACGGAACTAACAAGTGCATGGAAAAAAACTGACCACTGTGATCAAAATAACTAACGTGTAAATGAATTACATGTAAATCTGAAAAATGACTTGCCCCGGCGAAATTCTAATTAACTCAGCACACTAAAAATGGCCGGGCTTGGAATATATACTAATAAACAAATGGGATTGGTGTCCGGGCCTGGTTCATTCAACATTTAAGTACCCTAGAATTGCTCCATGATCATTGAGGAAAGCATTGTACAAGAGAAACCACGTAATAGTGGGTGGGGATCCGAAACCTACATAGAGGGCAAGTATTGTTACTGGATAGATGCTCATGGTGGGGTGTGTGATCATCAACTGAAACCTGAAACCAGCGGGTGATGCAATTTGTATGGAATATGTGCTGGCATGGCAGCAACATTGCTGCTGCGGTGTCGGCCTCGTGACTATGCTCCTCTTCGGGGAGAAGCTCATTCAGACATTGAAGGCGAATCACGAGGCACTGCGGTTCGTACTTGCCAAAACAAATCGCACATGTTTTTTCTTCTTCATCTAATTTTGCACGACCGCCAAGCTGGAAGAAACCGTAGCCATCCCGCACTATCCTCGGCAGAGGCATTGGAGTTGACTGATCGTAATCAGGGAGACCAGGCGGCGGTTGCTCGAGGCCTATACTCTCAAAATAATACTTTTTAAACAAGGTATAGACCTCTACTCCCAAAGTTACAGAGAGCTGTAAAGATACAGCCAGGCTAATCGAGTATAGCTTTGAGTTAGGGTTGTGATTGAGGAGAGGAATAAGCCCATCACGACATCCCCTTATCAGAACACTTGCGACGTACTTGAGCGCTTCTCCGTAGAAAAGGTGCTTGAAGGGGGAGAGTACTTTATCGGTAAATAAAGTCATAAGTTCTTCTTCTTCAGATCCTCCCTGGAGAATCTTCTCCAAGTCACTAGTCCAAGCACATTCACCGCTCACGTCAACGCACTTCTCAAACCTATACAGAACATCCTTCTCCCTGCCGCGTTCTTCATGGTCCAGCCACCATGTTTTACCATACGAAGCATACCCATCTTTCAGATATATCCTCACCATAGACCTTTGAAGATCAGGATCATCTTCTGTATCTATCTCCACCACGCTCCAATCCATATCACAAGAGTAGTGCCCCATCGCTGCGGACGGCGTAAACTTTATACTATCCTAGTTATAAAAATTATATTATCCTTTAATTTCGCCCTATGGACGCCGCCTTCAAAGCTGGTAGGCGTTTTATGGAAAGCTAGTGGTACATCGGTATATTTATAAGGCTGAGTTGGGGGATATTCTGCCTTCTCAACCGGTGTGGGAAGAATGGCCAGAATGTTCCGTATTAAGGAGTACATTCGATATGCCAAGTTAGTAACTTACTGCTCCATATGAATTGATACCTACTGGCCGTCCCAATTTGATGATCCCATTTCTTTTGGGCTCAAAGATTAAAGAAGTGGTTGAAAAGGTAAAAGTTGTGGTTGAAATTTGAGTAGAAAAAGGTGAAGTGAGGTGGACAACATATTTATTTCCAAAAAGGAAAATAGGACTATCAATTTGGGACGACCCAGAAAGGAAATACGGGATCATCAAATTGGGACGGAGGGAGTACTAATTTTATTACTCATATACGCTAGTATATTATTATTATTATACCATAAATGAGTCTACCGGTTCCGGGCCGGGTCAGTTCCGGGCCGGTGCGGTTCCGGTTCAATTTTTTTGCTTTCTTATTTATTCCCCCCACCACCCAAACCCCTCGGAAACCCAACCCAGCCCAACTAAACTCAGCCCAAACACAAAAAAAAAAAAAACAAAAAAAGGCCTGAACCAGGCTCGGCCCGACCGGGCCGGTTCGCCTTTTTCATGACCCGGGATCGGAACCGGTTACCCCCTCGGGCCGGGCCTAAGCTCCGCATAGTAGCGGTCTGGGCCGGTTCCGGGCCGAGCGACCCGCACCGAGTCCATCCCTATTACTAATGCATGTGTCATTTTCCCCCCCGGTGACCGTGGTGCTGGGTGGCATAGGAGGGATCCGGAGCCTCTACCTTACTTTAGAGTAAGGTAGGGTGCCTTGCTTCTTCCGGATCGTCCGATCAACAATTCAACGGTCGGAGATCTTGGGCTCCACTTTATCGCTAATCTCGAGGCCTGCTTTGCTACTGCCCGACCGTCCGATGCGCAAGGCACCGTCCTAGTCGGGCAGAGGATCCCAATCCGCATAGGAGGCGGCGATATTTTGCTAATTTTTTACTTTTTTTGGTTTTTTATTTATTTTTTAAATTATTTTTCTAAATATTTATTTTAAAAACATTTTGTTAATTTTTAATATTTATTACGGCCTTTTCATTATTATTATAATTTTATTATGAATTGAAACGATTCAATAGCTACAAGGTATATACGGAGTATTTGTCAAACACAAAAAATTAGTCCTATTAGTGAGTTAAAAACAATGTAATCCTATTGGTGATTATTGAGTGCCTTTTATTCCTAGTTAGGTAATTCACTAAATAACTAATGAAAAAATATTTTAATTGCCAATTAAATACTTTGATACGAAGTACTATCGTATATCTTAGGTCTTGTTTCCCATGTTTTACAAAATATACTTCTTCGAGATTTCTAGTCTATTGCCTTATTTTGAATATTAACTTGTACTCGTTTTAATTAAAAAAAAAAACTTATACTCGTTTTCTGAATTAATTTTTGCTATCTAGCAAAACTTTTAACCGACTTAATAGGTAGATTGGACTGTTTTCAGTCCCAGACCAGACCAAACCAGATCAGACCAGACTTTCGTAGTTATAAAATACACAGAAACCAGACGTTTACCAGACCAGACCAAACTAGACCAGACCAGACCAGATCAGACCAGACCAGACTACCGTAGTTATAAAATACACAGAGACCAGACGTTTACCAGACCAGAGCAGATCAGACCAGACTAGATGAGACTAGAGCACAAATTCCAGTCAAAAAGAAAATATCTGGTACACTGTCAGAGGTCACGCACTCATTCGTGAATCTACGTGTAAAGCAAGTTCGTGTATTTTTCTCATCCAAGCAAATGATGTCAAATGATCCCAGGAATCACAAATTCATAATGTACCAGAATACCAGATGGATGGCATTAGAAGTTCAGAACACCACTTAAAATTGCCAAACTGGCTTTTGGACAGAATTATTAGAGAATTGTATCATGCTTTGGATTGCTCCATGTTAGTAGCCAAAAACGCTTTTTACAGTCTTAAAAATGTATTTCACTCTAATAAACAGAATACAGTGATCAATATTGATATGAATTTCTCATGACTATAAGCCAGGCGAAGAAAAAGAAAAAAAATGAGACGCCCCATCCCATTCTCTTACTTCCATCTGAGGGATTGCCTTATACCGGTATAGATAAGACCTAGAGATCGCCCAACGCACGCACACGGGTACTGCCAACCAAGAGAGCTCTCGGTAAGCCGTAAGACTGAAGTAATATCTCATGGAACACATATGAGAAAGCATGAAAAGATTGAAAGTAATTTGTCTCCTGTAACTCATGGCTTGTTCTTGTAGATTTCAATCTTTTCAGTTCTTTCATAGTTACACATCAGCCAAAGTACCACAGACGGAGCCAAGTGCTGGGTTATATATGGTGCCAGATGACACCACTCAAATTATATATTTATTGTATATATATGTATATATAAATTGATAATGTTAAAAATGACACCACTCAAACTATATATCTAAAAACATTATAATAGTGAACATCTAAAAACATTATAATAGTGAACATGACTTAGTACCTTGAATTATGTCCATCTCTTTGAAGCATGAGATGTTGTACTATTTGATTAATTCATTGAACTTCTTTTTGAAATGGACTTAAATATCCCTCCTCCGTTAATTATTGAAAAGGTAGCACCGTTAAATGATCATTAATTGAGCTCAAGTGTTATTGATTAATTAATAGTTATTTTTTTGGGTGTCGTTTTAATATTTTGAATATTATGTGATGGCTATTTTGAATATTATGTGATGGTTTGCGTAGATCAGTTCGTAAATGGTAAAACCAGATATCTAAATATATTTCAATAATCTAAAATGTTGATTGAGCATTTGCATCAAACAATTCTTCCTTTTAAACGCAAATTGTTTTTTGTATGCACTGTTTACAAACTTAAAAGATTTAAGGGAAAATTGCACATTTGATCGCTCAATTAATCACTATATTGAAATGTTTTACCCATATTTATGAGATTGTAAATGTCACCCCGAATTGAAATATGTGTTGTAAATGTCATTCTTCGCCGATTATAATTATCTCCAATTCTAGACTACCAATAAGTTCATCACCGGGAGTGACATTTACAACACATTTGTCAATTCGAGGGTGACATTTAAAATCTCATAAATGCGGGCCTAACATTTCTATATTGTCACAAATTGAGAGATCAAAAGTGTGATTTTCCCAAAATTTAACTACAAATTTTACTAAATCCATAAACTGAAATTGAATATGATTACAAATTGGTAAAAAAAATAAAAATAGAAACAACCCAGGTGGACTCGATGACAATTGAGATAGGTAAATGGAATAAATGGATTATACTATCGTATTAGAATATGTACAAATCAAGTGTGGCACGTACAATGTTTTTTTATCAAATACGATTATTTCATCTATTTTTGTTAGTGATCGCAATATTTGTATGGGAAAACTTTAAAATAAGTGATCAAGCCATGCATGCATCCATGTAAAGAGACTAAAATTTTACGTTTTTATTAATTAACATCATATTGGGCCTTCATTTTCGCGCATTGCGCGTATTACACGCTAGTTTATTGTATATATGTGTATATAGATTGGAAGTGTTTAGAATGGCATCAATAATTGTTTTTATAAAATGCCAATATATAATACTAGTATCTTTACCCGTGCGGTGCACGAGATGAAATGATTTTTTTAGTTTTAGTATATGTGCGAGCACATTGGCATATGTATGAATTATTATAATTAACATAAAATCACTTATTTAATCGATTATAACATTGGTCGATAATGCATGTTCTTATTTATTGAGTATATCTTCAAAAATTCTTATGAATAGAGGTTGGTACCCTTGATTTATGTCAATGCATTTGTGCAATAAGATGTTGTACATTGTTATTAAAAATTTGAACTCTAATTTTTTAATTATTTGGCTTCTTTAACCTTACCACCGTCTATTCTTCTACCTCCGTTAAGTCAATTGAAGTTATTATTATACGGAGTAGCTTTATATTCTTATAATCACCGGTCTCTGACTCGCTGCACATCGATCCCTTCAATTTTTGTAGCACATTCATCAGCGGTGTCCCGCAAAGAATGACTTCTATGGAGCGAAATCTTTGAAGTGTTCTTCTAGCAAGGTTTACTGAATTTGATGTTTATGAGGTGAGCATTTCTCTATAAGGGAATTGTGAAACTTTTGATTGAGTTTTGTGTTTCTTTTACTAATTTGTTTCAAATTAACTTTGTGTCATTTTCAATCAAATTATCAGTTTCTGGTAATATAGCAACTCAAATATTTATGCTTGCAGAAACTCTGGAAGTCAATTTCTTATGAACACAAATACAAGTCACTCTCATAGAGTCATAGTTTGTTCTAGTAAAGGCAATAGTGCGAGAATTCATTTTTTGTAAAATTCATTTCCATAATTATTTTAGTCCATTGTGCATTTAATTGCTGTACTTAAGTTCATTTTTCCTTTGATTTAGACCTTCCCCACTTCCCATCAAGTAGACATAATATTTTAACTTTGTGTCAGTTGTTTGAGCATGGTGTGGCCATATTAGAAGATTTTGTAATTACATTGGCAGCATGTATTTGGAGCTTATATCAGTTGATAGTAAAGTGTCCAATGAAATGAACAGCCTTGGTTTAAGTCTGTGTACTACTGTACTTTATCAACCCGAGCACTTCAGAGATTACGGAATGAGGTAAACATTTTTTCAAAAGCAACTACAGGGTCAGTCTAAGTAGCATAGAGTAAAATTACTGTAGGATACTAAAACATTAAACTAGTAAAAATACTATAGGTTACTGTAGGGGAAACATGTGAATATATCTTTACATATAGATTCATACATTTCTCATCATTTTCATTTACCCCTATGCCGCAAAGGCTCCCACCTACGGTGTGGTAAAGGGGGGTCGGATGTACGCAGTCTTACCCCAGTACTAAAGCACAGAGAGACTGTTTCCGGATGATCCATAGTGAATATCGCGTCCAAAATTGCATAGACTGACTACTGCTTCATAACAAAGAAGCGCAGACAGTTTAGTAGGTCATTTTGCTTTATTCCATCATTTTCTCAAGCCAAAAAATAATGAATCTTTGGCTCCATTGCAAATGATGGAAAAAGATTCATACATTTCTATTCGTAATAATTCAAGAAAATAAAAACATTAGACTATTAAACAATAGTAGAGTACACATTTTGAAGTCATATAGTCAATAAAGTATACTAGAAAGAAGTAGCGAAGAAGCACAAAATGGAAGAGTAAAAATGTAGAGAAGACAAATAAGTCACATACAGAGGAGAAGAATTCTGAGGAAGAAGGCTAATGTTTTTTCAAATCCTAGTTGTCGGAAATTCAGGATACCAGAGCAAAGCTCCGAAGCATCAATACTTATTTTATAGGAAACCAAGCTCTTTTTAACATTAGAGTATTTCTAGGAGAGACAGAGAAGGTAATCAAGGAGTGTTGGCATTTGCTTCTACTTTTGACAAGTGATTAATTTTAGAAATTATACAAAAAGTGATTAATAGTAAAAGTTGGAAGTGTTTGAGAAAAAAAGTGATTTTAAAATTAAAGTTAGAATGCTTGGTAAAAAAGTACTTTTGTGTGATAAAAAAATGAAAATGAATGTAAAGCACCCCTCCAGGGTTCCACCTTCTTCCAGTTATTAACTTAAAGTGCTTAATTTAAATAGAAGCGGTTGTTTGAAAATACTATTTTTAACCTTTTTTAATGATAAAAGCTAAAAAACATTTTTTAAGCAATGGAAAACACTCCATTAATATGGTAAGTCTTAAGTCTGAAGTTTAGTGTTTGTCTTTGTGGAATTTGGCCAGAGTTACTGAAACGTACATATTCAAGATAAACACATTTTTTAAATTATCGAAATAGCCAATAACGTGTATATGGAGTTTCTAGCATTTGGAAGCCTTGTGGAGTTTCCTAAACAGGGAAACTCATGTCTTTGGGCGTTTCCATACATCGTGGAGGTCAGTCTTAGGTCTATGTTTATTGATACCTTGATGCAACATCTGTAAGCTCATCTATAAAGTGTTGGTGTCCAAATAGCAATGTTTTCATCGTGTGAGCTAGGGAGCCGTATTCATATCAATTGTTTGTATGCTTTGGTTTAGCCGTTTAGGTTTATGATGTCTGACCTTATTGCAACTTTTTAACAGGTGGCAATGCGCAAATGGTTGCATCTGAACATGGAAGCAGTTGTATCAATGTATGAACATCACTTTGACTTGAGCACATTTGAATGCCGGGTCTTAGAGGCATCTGGTAAACAAAGAGTCGAAGATCGTCCATGGTGGAATAAACTTGGTATAATGATGAAGTCAGGAACCAGTATCATCTCCCTTTCGAGTTGCCATCATCAACCAAATATCTATAGCTGCTTAGCGCACCAAAGAACTGAGGTCCTTAAGAGGGTGGTATGCAGAATCCCCTCCCCAAAATCGCTTACTCATTTAATCTATTTATCAGAATTTAAAAATCTTTACTACCACTGGGAAGAAGAACCCCTATTAACTAGTACTCTCTCTGTACTATAAATGGAGTAATGTTTTCTAAGATTTTTTGCTCCCAACAAAAGAGTCATGTTTCATCAAAAGAAGCTAATTTTGTTGTTATATGCTAAAAGAGTTGCAAAAAAGTTAATTACAAGTAGGGTTTCATCAGGACAGTTTTGACTTTTACCTCGTCCAAGCTAAAAAGCTGTATACTCGTACCTTAACCAAACATGACTTCTTTGTTAGAGAGAGTAGTTCTTATTGCATATATAAGGCTGTGTCTTTTTGCATTATGGACTCTCTTACAAAATAATTAAACTATAAGTTGTAGCTAAGCTGTACTTTGGCTGATGTGTAACTATGAAAGAACTGAAATGATTGAAATCTGTCAGAACAAGCCATGAGTTACTGGAGACAAATTACTTTCAATCTTTTCATGCTTTTTGATATGCGTTGCAGGAGATACTACTTCAGTCTTTTCCTTGAGTTGTCTGATATCGCCATGCCCTTGATAAGGACATTCATTGCCAAGGTCAGTGGTGCAATTTCATTCTTTGATTCTTTCTAGTTTGCTTGATTAGGCGATCGCTAGGTCTTATCTATACCGGGATAAGGCAATCCCTCAGATGGAAGTAAGAGAATGGGACGGGGCGTCTCATTATTTTATTGCTTTTTCTTCTTAGAATGTTTTCTTTTGGACTGAAATTTGCTGGTCTGGTCTGGTCTGGTCTATTTAAGTTTGGTCTGGTCTGGTCTAGTCTAGTCTGGGACTGAAAAAAGTCTAAAAGAAAAAATTGTCACATATCCCACTGATAGATTAAAAGAATATTTTTTATTCTTTTAATTATTACTTCGTACATAAGGAATACCGTGTTTTGAAACACCCGATTAAACATATCACTTTTTAAAAAAGTTCAATTGAGCAATTTCGTATAATCATATGTAAACAAATGCTTTTTTGATCACTTGCACTGTTGCACACATGGCGACTTCCATGATAACTACGTACTACCTCTGTCCCACTAAGATTGGGACAAGAGAAGGTGACTTGATTATTAAGAAAAATGAGTTTGTGTGGTTGATATTAAATTGATAAAGTAAGAATAAAGTAAGAATGATTTAGAGCCACACAAACTTTACCAAATTTGGTATGAGACAATCTTAGTGAGATTTTCTGTTAAATGTCCCACACCGGAAACGTTTGGATGAACAAAGTGCTATATTAACACACGGGTTACTCCTCCTATCAGGTTGACCTTTTAGGATGGAACCCCGTGTCTTAAAATGAGACAATTTTAACGGGATGGATGGAGTATATTTTTTTTGTTTTTGTTTTTTCTTCTTCTCTTTTCCGCTTGCTTCCTTCCTCGCCTAATGTCCAATTTTTTCGCAATGAACCAAGTTTTTGTTCTCGTCAACAATGTCCACATCCGTACCGTCATCGGTGACTTTCAAGAGTTTCCTGAGAGCTGTAATTTAACAACCGCCTGAGCACACATAAGATGTTAGGAACCTGGCAATAAACCAGGTGAAAACAGTGAACAAGCACTATGGATCTCATAAGAAAATAGGGACAATGATGTTTATTGATGAAAATATATCAACTTAGGTAACATAAGGCAACCGGGACTCTTAGGCAACAGGGCAACAACCAGATAAATCCTGCTCTAATTAGCTACCCCACTTCTATTTATAGTAAAAGTCCATAGCGCCACACTAGGTAAAAGATATCTGATGATCTGCATATTTTTGTTTTTTAATCAGCCATGGCCAGTATTTAATGTTATTTGTAAATGTGTTATGCATTAATGTGGTTTCGCAACACGCTACTCTAGGATGCTGGTGAAAGTTGTTTGTGCTTTTTCAATACAGTAATGTCTTTAATTTTATTTTAAAGACAACAAAGTACAATAATATACTCCCTCCGTCCCTTAAAGGTTTGCCATGTTTGACCGGCACGTAGAATAATAAAGTAAAAACTGTGTGGTAGAGATTTGTGAAGAGGAGAGAGAAATAATATGAGCCACAAATTGATTGATTAAAATGGAAAGTGGCAAAGTTTTTGGGACAACCAAAAAAGAAAAGTTGGCAAAGTTATAAGGGACGGAGGGAGTATGTAGCAAACAAGAGTTTAGCAACAGTCTGCCTTGTATGGGAAATTATTTTAATCAGCTCCTTTTAAGTATGAATGAATAACACCAAGAATGACTATTCATTATTTCAATCCATGGATCAGCTGCAAGTGTGTATTATATTAGTGTTTTAATTTTTAGGAGTTGAAGTGTGACATTGATAACACATGTGTGTTTGTGTTTTAAATCTGAAAGCCTAAGTCAATCTTTTGCCTATTCATAGTTAAAAGAAGTTGATATACGAATTATACCAATCAATAGTTTAAAAATTAAATTTCCAACTGTAGTCTTGCAATTGATTTTTCCAACCTAACCCCTTTCATAAAAACAAATCAAGGTTTGTTGTAGTATTTATTAAATTAAAAAGCATTTTTTAAGGTTTTATTCTTTACATTTAGCTGAATTGAATGGATTAATTGTCACTACAACTCTAATATGATACAAAATTAGTTAAATTAATCAAGTAATAGTACTTTTTGTTCAACGATTACATTATTAATGTCTTGTTAAAACTTAAAACTAAAATCTGGAGATCATGTTCATGTCAACATTTTATTTTGTTATATCCAGAACATATGTTAGGTGGATATTTTTAATTTTGTTTCAAAAGTGTTGGATTAATTGTTGATTTAGCTTTCCAAGAATGTCTCTTTCAACTGGAACTGCTTTATCTTTTATCGTTATAAACACCGCCCCTGATGGTTTATAATAATCCTAACACAATGATCTTCTACATCTTCCATCAATCAGGGATGTTGTTGAACCTCAGAGACAATGGAGTGGAGCGCAGAAGCTAGCAGCACGCTCAATAGCCTCACAAAGATGGAGCTTAATAGATGAATCCCTACAAGAAATGGTGGTCCTCGATGAGTTAAACTTAATCAATTTACAGTTAGGCAAAAGAAGGGTGGTCCTCGATGAGGTAAGCCCTTCAAGAAATGGTGGTCCTCAGTGACCCTATTTATTATATTTGGATTTTAAAATGGTTTTTGAACCAAAGATAGGGTTGAGAACACTAGTATGAAACTTATTATGGAATATGTAACTTTCTCTTTGTATAGTTGGTAGTGTTGACTAGGATGAATTCAATCAACACCAGCTGGCTACTAAGTATCAACCAATGGTATGTAGGTTTTGACTTCATTTATCATTCTGGACTTGGCATCCTTTCCAAGAGTCCGTGATTTTTAAGAGTATTTGATTCATTTGAATATCTTTATGATGTGATATGAATTCATTGAAGTGGTGTGATTTAAAATTCTATGCATGAGTAATATTAATATTAAAGTCACTGAAAACTGAAAAATATATATCTTGGTCAATATCAAGATATATATAGTTATAAATCAACGAAGAATATGAAAACGAATCTTGAATTCTGCCCTAAGGTTTGCGATTTTATATTCAAATCTGATGTATTTATTTGGTTCTAATAGACATAAATCAAATGCAAGTATCACTGCCCTAAATAATTCGAAGTAGTTAGGTTTTTTCTGAAGAGAAGTGCCAATTAGATATTATTTACCGTTAGCAATCTAGAATATAAGAACCAAATCTAACAAATATTGATTAGAAGTATATGGATACCTGAGGTTAGAATAAGACATAGATTTTTTTACTCTATTGAGATTTGGTAAGAAAACAGAATCTTGAATGATTAGTTTGAACTAATGGGAAACAATGAAGAAAGAATGTGCTTTTGGAATGGAGTCAATGAACTATTTGTTATCTTTTTAATCTGCATACTACTTATTAGAAGTTACTCTTAGAAACGATCTTGGAATGATTCTTAAAATGTAGTTTTTCCGTGGAAAGCATATTGCAGAATGATCTTATACTTAAAATGGAACCGCATGTCATCATTTCCTTTTACATTCCTAAACAAAATAAAATGACCGTGATTAGCAATTTTGTTCATTTCCTTAGCATTTTCAGGGGCAAAACATATATATCCCATGATTTCAATGGGGTATATAGGATATTTATCCCAATGATAAAAAAAATATAAAATGTTTTGAACTCCTACTTTGGGAATTTAAAAAGTCCGGTCCTATTGTTGCATTAACGTTATGTTTCACTCCTATTCTAGACAAATTCTCGTTTATTTTAGTTGGAAAATATAAAATGTTGATACTTTTACATGATATTTTCTAATTTTACATGTATATATTTACTAGTGGCTCTATAAAAATTAGAATGTTCAGTAAAAAATCAAAACGTCTTTTCACACCTTGGCGCCGCCTAAACTCGCCTAGGCTTGAAAGGCTTGAGGCTTGGACGTGCCGCCTCGTCCAGAGAGAGGACGAAGTTTGTATAGCGAAGGGAGAAAGGACGAATGGTTCCAGAGAGAATCGGTCAAACCGATGACTCTTCTGGAACTCACGAATACTAGAGTAGCGCAGGGAGAGTAGGGTTGGTTTTGTTGGGTCTTAAATGGGCAGTACTAAACGGGGAACATGGACTGGGCTGGATTTTGGATTTTTTTTTCAAGTGGGCTTCTTTTATTTTAAAATTAAAAGGCTGATAAGAAAATGTATTGAACAGAACATAATGTGTATCATTATTTTGTGAAAAGTCATGATACTTTAATATTTTATATATTTATATATTTATATATTTATTTAGATATTTTACATATTTTTATATATTTATATTCTAATATTTTTACATGTATATATTTTGTACACTGTAAATTTTGTATAATTGTATAATTTCATATTTTATACGGAGTATAATTTAAATTTAAATTGTTGTGATTTTTATTATTTCTTAAATGTGTGTGTTTGTATTGAATAATATAATTTTATCTATCTTTCTTATCATTGTAAATCGTAGGTATAAAAATGTTACATTATTTAAATAATTTTTTTGTTCCGTGCATCGCATGGGAGAAAGAAACCTGTATTTATGCGTGGTCAATTGTATGTGGCAGTATCTAGAGTGACAAATCGTAAGAGTTTGAAGATATTGATTTGCGGTGAAAATGGGAAAAGCATTGACTGTACTACAAATGTTCTTTACAAAGAAGTCTTTCGGAATGTTTAGTCTTTGTACATCTAATTGAATGCTTCAAATTTTTACAAACAAGTGTTTCGAAATTTATTGCGTGTTTTGTTTTCCCCTCCTCTTATCTTAATGTATAAATCGTACCTATTATTAGTGATGACTATAGTTTTCTCTATAATTATTGTATATTGTTCATATATATTACATGCGTATAAAAAAATATCATCTGCACATGCATTAATAACATTAATAAATAAGATTATAGAATTATTCGATAATATGGACTGTGCAACGCACGGTTGAGAATCTAGTCAATAATAATTGCACTACTTCTCACGAACTACCTTTTCCCGCTCGGGCGGCTGAAATGTATTTGGTTCTTGAGCGGGAAAATGACCTCCTAACAAAGTAGTGCAACTAAGGTAAACACACTAAATTTAAGGTATCTCCAAAGATAGCATATGGGCTGGCTAAGCTTTCTGTAATGAAGTACGGATTTACTATTAGTACTAATTCAAATGATATTAAACCCAACTCATGAAAAATGCAAACCTCAATATGATAATCTCAGGCTAGGCAGCTAGAGTAGTGGTACTAATAAATTATACTCCGTATGAGGAGAATTATCTCTTTGATGATCCATTATTTAAAAGGAGGATTAAAAATTTTGCCTGTTCCTAATTAGCAACTCTTTCTTTATTGATAATTGTTTTTAAATTGATACCCCTGTTCATTATAATTGAACGTGAGGCATATCAATTTCTTTCCGTACTCTGGACTCTTTCTTATTCCATCTTTTTTCCATCATTTGTAATGGAGCCAGAGATTCATTATTTTTTGGTTTGAGAATATGATGGAATAAAGCAAAATGGCTCACCAAACTGTTTGCGCTATCTTTTATCGTTATAAACTCCGCCCCTGATGGTTTATAATAATCCTAACACAATGATCTTCTATATCTTCCATCAACAGGGATGTTGTTGAACCTCAGAGACAGTGGAGTGGAGCGCAGAAGCTAGCAGCACGCTCAATAGCCTCACAAAGATGGAGCTTAATAGATGAAGCCCTACAAGAAATGGTGGTCCTCGATGAGTTAAACTTAATCAATTTACAGTTAGGCAAAAGAAGGGTGGTCCTCGATGAGGTAAGCCCTTCAAGAAATGGTGGTCCTCAGTGACCCTATTTATTATATTTGGATTTTAAAATGGTTTTTGAACCAAAGCTAGGGTTGAGAACACCAGTATGAAACTTATGGAATATGTAACTTTCTCTTTGTATAGTTGGTAGTGTTGACAAGGATGAATTCAATCAACCAATGGTATGTAGGTTTTGACTTTATTTATCATTCTGGACTTTCCTTTCCAAGAGTCCGTGATTTGAATCTGCATGCTACTTATTAGAAGTTACTCTTAGAAACGATCTTGGAATGATTCTTAAAATGTAGTTTTTCTGTGGAAAGCATATTGCAGAATGATCTTATACTTAAAATGGAACAGCATGTCATTTCCTTTCACATTCCTAAACAAAATAAAATGACCGTGATTAGCAATTTTGTTCATTTCCTTAGCATTTTCGGGGGCAAAACATATATATCCCATGATTTCAATGGGATATACTCCATCCGGTTCACATTTTTCTTTACACTTTCCTTTTTTGTCAGTACCACATTCTTCTTTACACTTCCTTATTTGCCTTATTTGCCTTATTTGGCAAACAAATCTACATAAAATAGTGTCAAACAGTGTCAAACAGTGCCAAACAGTGTACTCTACAGTAAAGTCAAATTTATTTTCTTAAAACTTGTGAAGTCAAAGTGTCAAGGAGATTATGAACCGGAGGGAGTATAAGATATTTATCCCAATGATAAAAAAAATAATGTTGTTTTGTATTCATCCCAATGAAAAAAAAATAATGTTGTTTTGTTTAAAGAGGTGATTGATTGAGTATTAAAACTTTAAATGGTATTTGTTTTTGTTAGATATTTAATGTTGGAAGAAGCTGAATGTGGTATTTAAATATGGATAACTAGGTGAGTTGAGTTGGACATACTCTGAATCCTTATATTTAGTGATGACACTATTAGTATTAGTTTACATGTTTATGTGTCACCCCGGGTAACTTACCCGCCTCGATATGCAAAAGCAGTTTTTCACTCTAACATTTGATATGTTGTTTTTAAGCACTGGATTGTTAGGAATTGACATCAAATTCTGTTTTATGACCATGTAAATATTTGTGTTGGAGGACTTAAGAATATATTATGGGATTAAATTTGATGTTAAGTGATTTATTTGTTTTGTTATCCTGCTAGGTGTAAATATTTGCATAATCTTTGTGCAAACATGTATGTCCGGCATTCACACTAAGGAGACAGAGAGGGGCTGGAGGGGGCCTCGGCCCCTGCAAGAAAAAAAATCTTAAGTATATATTATGTATAAATACTTTTAATCTGTAGAAAATATGTTGATATTTCAAAGTTTGGCCTCTACAATGTAAAATTTTTAAGGACCGGCCCCTTTAATCATAGATTTCTGGCTCCGCGCCATTGGGAGGTGTTTCTATGGGAGTGTTTGCGATTACTTGTGCTTTTTAAAAGTGATTTTTTTAAGAGATTGTTGGAAAAGTGATTTGTAGTAAAAGTATGTAGTGTTTGGAAATAGAAGTGATTTTAGTTAAAATGTAAAAGTTGGAGTGTTTGATAAAAAAGTGATTTTTTATGTAGTTTTTTTGTAAAGTACAAAATTGCCCTTTTTTAAATATTTTATCTTCGAGTGTTTGCAGACTGCCCCTTCTCTCATCTTTCACTCCTTCATGCGATTACTAGTGCCGCAGCAGACTAGAAGAAACTCCATCAACTCCAATCCATCAATCCATGGTTACCACAGACTAGAAGAAACTCAATCGGCTCCAATCCATGGCTAATTGGCTACCGTCGGAGTTCCTAGCCACAACCTTGGAGAAGGCCGCTGCAGCCGCACCGCAACTCTTGGAAGGGGGTCCTTGAACGTGACGGCGGATGTTGCCGTCTCCGTCATGGTGGTGAGCCGGCTTCATTCTTGACGTCTTTGGAATGAGTGAGCTCCATCGATTTAGCAAGAGGAGTGAGCTCCGACATAGGTTACAAAATGTGTTGCAGAGACCTACGTAGGATTGGTGTGGGAGGGATGAAGGGTATTTTGGGTTTAATGGGGTATGATATTATCCATAAAATTGGAGTTATTTTCAATTTTATCTAGAAGCACTAGAAAGCACCTCTCAGGCTGCTTTTAGATTTTGGCTTAAAAGCACTTAAAAGAAGCAGAATCTGGGGTTACCAAACACCACTTTTAGCTTTTCCAAAGCTAAAAGCTCCAAAGTGCTTAAAAAAAGCAAATGCAAACACTGCTTAAGTAAAATATGGCAGCACACTGAATTTTGCCTTTAAATTGCAGGATTGGGAGTTGAAGAGTCAAAACTGGTGATGGTGATGGTGATGATGATAAGCTTTCATTGGGGTTTGGTCTATGACTCCTATGTGTCCTTGAACACCCTCTTTGGGAGTCCAAAAATTTGAAGATTGATAGAGCAGTTCATAAAGATGAATTCGTTCTAATGGGAGCATGAATTGCTTAAATTTAGTCTCTCCAACAGGTGTATATGCCCTGTGATACTGACCTGGAACCGAAAAAACTACAGTGTCTACTTCTCTTTCAATTTGCAGCAAGCCTCTCTCAGATTGTGACTCAGCAAAAAAAAAATTGGCAAAATTTAAGGCGGCAAGTGAAAACATTTCCGTCAAACTCATTTTTTTCTTTCTTCTTTGTATATGCGTGAAACTCCGAAATTATTCTAGATATTTTTTTTCAATTTTCGGTGATTGAATCATGAGTGATAGACAAATTAAGAATGTGATGGCGTCATCCTTTTCTCCATTTGAAAAGCACATTCCAGTCATTTTCAATTTTTCATACTCCGTATATGTTGAAGGTTTTACCAGAGTCACATTTTTCTTTTTCTTGAAATTTTATTAGTTGAGTTACAATCTATTTATGGGGTACAATTCACATCCCATTAAAGATGCTCTTAGATATGATACGAAATTTGTATTTTTGAAATAAAAGGTTTACTCCAAATTACTTATTTCTAATGAATGTGCTATCCTTTATTCGGTTATTCCAAATATTACAGTTTCTATACATTTTTTATTTGGAGATCGATCGTTTTGGTTTGTTAATTGGCGATATATACCAAAAAATCATTATTGTACGTGTTTTAAGTGCTATGTCAGCTGTCCAAATTAAGTTTTAGCAATATAATTTCATCTTCATGTCAATTTTATCACTAAATTAATATGGCTTTAATTATTGATACAGTTTACGATTACACATTTACATGCCCATTTTCGTAAACAAAGTGCTTTATGATTTTGGATTCATTAGTAATGGGTTTCTATAGCCTTCTGGCTAGGTCTGGGTCTGAAAAATCTAAAATTGAAAATCGAATCAAATTAAACCGAATCGAGACCAAATAAAACCGAACCGTTAAAAAACCGAAATCGAAGGTAAAAAACCGAACCGAACCGTAGTAGTTTAGTTCGGTTTTGGTTTTAACCTTCAAAACCGAACCGAACAAACCAAACTAAAATAAAATATAAAATTTTATTTGTTAAATGTAAGCACTAATCTTGATATCATCAATAATCTTTGAATCTCTTGTACTAGAGAAATAATGTTTGTGCTATGTTTAGTTTAGTTTATAAATTCATTTAGACATTCATTGCCCATAATAATGTAGCTATGTTGATCTATTATGTCTTCCATGTATGTATGTTGCAATTTATTGCATGATTATATGTTTTTAATGGTTATTAGTAGTAATTAACTTTTATTTTTATGTAGCCTAATTTTTTTGTAACTTAATATTTTTGTATTGATAAAACAAATAAATATTCATCTCAAGTATATCACATAGGATGTATGTAACTTAAAGGTTGTCTTTGTAAAACGGCACGATCAGTTTAACAATAATTATATAAAGTAATTCGAGTATATTTTTAGAAAAAAATTTAATGGTTATTTATAATATAATGGAGTCATTGATGACAATTGTAATGTTGTAGATATATTATTTTTAATATTCGATGACTAATTATAATATCATTTAAGGATGTTAATTACTTTCTAAAATAGAATTTAGAACCTTAATCTCGACGTCCAAAAAATGAAAGCGATGGTCTTAGAATGACAGAGTGAGTATATAAAAGGGCCGTTTTGCACCCGGGCCTCCGGGTCGTATTCTGAGCAGCTTTGGGCTCATCCGGCCAAAGTGTGCCACATGGGTGTCCCTTTATGGTGTTTTGTCCTTCCGTGTATATGGGCTGCGGGGCCCAGACCCATATACTCTAAGTATTATAATTATACTTAGAATTATGATTATATAAGTAATTATAATTAAAAATATAATTAGAATTATAATTGTATCTATAGCTATAATTAGTGTAATAGGTATAATTATTATAATTTTTAAATTTAATTCTAATTATTATTATTATTATTTTTGTAAATTATGATTATAATTAAATTATATTTTCATTTACAATTATAATTATAATAACAATAATAATTATGATTATAATTATAATTATAATCATAATTATACTTATAGAAATATTCAAATTAAATCAGATCAGAAGAGTTTAGATCATATCAGAAGAGTTTAGTATTACTAATACACTTTGCTTATATCGCACACGAGTGCTTTGAACAATTATGTTAATATAATGCCAGAAATCGAAAAATTATTTAGATAGGTTTGATAGACGTAATAAAATTTACGGAGTATTTTATTAAAGAGAACATTTAAACTTGACAGAACTGAGTCCTGTTCATATTCTGCCCGTTAATTTTTTCTTCAGCTAGTTCATAGATCATAATCCTTGAACGCAGTATAACATACTTCAATTCAAGATCAAGGTCCGCATCCCTAATATGGATGGCGGAGCGAAGGAACTTCTTTTACTCATTTCGAAGGTACGTTCGGAGCTTGAAACGCACATAGGTGTGGGGGACAAAGTTCTTGCAGAGTTCCCAAATAAATTGGGCTCGAGTCTCAAAA